TGGTGTCGTATTTTAAGTATTTTTGGAACTGATTTTTTTGTGAACACAAAAATAAATCGTTCAATAGGATATCAAAAAGGTATTTTCAACCGCCCCGCTAATAATGTTTGGATAGACAGCTGTACGATGGGCAGACTCTTAGCTGCCGTCCATCTGTGCACGTCAGTTCAGGCAATCTCGGTGCTCAGCGTTGGTTTGTAAGGAATTAGTTTGCGTCGGCGTTGTTTGAAATGATATTGAACGATGGTGGACCGCTATTTTCTTAAGAGCATAAATTATCCTTCGGTTTTCTTTAAAGGCACACAAAGATAGAAAATAATGATACCATGACCTCGAACCAAATATCCGTGGATTAAACAGAATTATGTTTTTTATTATGAATAAGAGTTTATCGATTACTAAAAAATTTTATAAACTGCTTCTCTCATTCATATTTTTTTCCTCTTAAAGAATAAATCTCATAATTTCCGTCAAAAAAATTAAGCTATACATAGCACTCATAAAAAGTATAAAGTTTATTATTTTTCTAACGCTGAAAATGCTATTAAGGAGTGGTATTATAGCAAGATTAAGGTGTGCTCATTTTAAATTTTGCACAAAACAGTGTAAATAACTCATTTAATAAAGGGTGGGTGGTAAAACGTATATTAGTAATGTACAATATTCAGTGAGAATTATACTTAATCTTTCTAGGGACATGTTGTTTTTATACATCCCTAGATCATCTTACTCTGATATAATCCCAAATGAAAATTTTGCAGGGATATGTGTTTCAACGGGGTTTCATTATAATATGTTATTGTCACTAACTTTTGTTTTTTATTTTTATAATTTCTCGTTATTCGTCGTTTTATTCTATTTTTCTGTATGTTTTCGTTGACAGATGTTAAACTGGCGTTTAATTTGTACCGACCATTAGGATGACAGGAATGACACGATAATTTAAAGACCACGTAGGCTACGAGATGTAGCAAACAGATAAACTTTTTGTTGGTTGAACAGACCGTCGGGTGAAGGATAAATGTAGAGGTGAAAGTTCTGGAAACTGGCGAGAAAACTGTTTCATTAAGAAAATCCTATTGCATTGCTCAACAGTTTGACCGTTATAGCGATTGTCCAAACAATTAAACGAGATCGGAGATGCATGAAAACAAAGTTTTGTCTGTTTGCACTACACAAATACGGTAAAAGGGTCGTGTTCAACGTGTCTATGAACATGACAAATCTCTATCTTTTCTACCGTTATGTCCTAAACAAACACTTACCTAAAATCTAGTTAATGTTATTAATTAGTTTTCTAATAAGATACTGACCAAGACACTTAAAATGTTATAAGACATAACTTTTAAATTAATGTATAACTTAAATAACAAAAGTATTGTAGACTTCTATTTTGTTAAATCATCTGAATAGAAATATTTTTTCTAAATATTGTACAAATATTTGCCCATGATTATATTTAAAACAAATAAATTATGACTAATGAAAAATATCAAGCATGCCACCAAACTTACTTATAAAGTTTACATTTATATTCAAGGATTATTATTTTATGAAATTAAATGACAGAAAATATAATAATATAGGGTAAATTAAAATATAACATACATTGTATCTTTAATTTCTATCTTAAAATAATAATTATGTTCAAAATATAATTTTTGGTATTACTTAGTGTCATTTTTTCAAATAAATCTTTCAATTTATCAGTTATTACTTCTTCTTATAATATATTCCTTATACTTTATAAGAATGTCAACTTTATATTTTTAAATGAAGAATATACACATATCACTAGCTTATTAAATAAAAAATAACAGATTGATACAACTTTTCATTATTTTGAAAGTAATTAAAATTATTATATATAGACTAGAGGAAGAGTACGAGCGGAAAATGACTAATTATAAAAATAGAAATACCCTCGTCTCACATCCAGCTATCACTATAAAATGTAAATGACTTCCGAAATACTGTTTCAAAATTAATTATTGACCAGTCATTTTTATAATTAGAACATTACCTAATAAATAAGCTAACTAATTATGTATGTTGCCATTTAAAGATATAAAGTGGACACCCTCGTAAGATATAAGAAATGAACATAAAAAATAATTTATGACTGAGAAATTGAGAAAAATATATACTTAAAATATACGAAAAACATTTTTTATGTAATTCTTATTTTATGATTAATTAAATTCTTGATAAATAAATAACTGTGTATATTCCACTTAAATAATACCAATAAAAATGTTCTCAACATAATTAAAATATTAAGAGAAATTGTCAAGCTAGTGTTAAAAAAATTACTCTGTATTAATTATAATTTTAGTGAAAAAAACTAAACGTCAGATATATGTATAATATAAAAGTAATGTCTATTAAAATCTTAGTACTTAAGTTACATGAGTTTATATAGTAATATTTATTGTTTTATGCTCCTATAAACATTTTAAAATATTGAAGATGATAACATGAATGGGTTTTAAACGTAGAGCAACCATTAATTATTGCTTTTGACGATTCAAAAATAACAAAATTGTATGATGATCTTCTTCGGTGTTTAATAACAAATTTATTCAAAAGAAAAATGCATAAATTTTTCAGTTTAGTAGATTTTTTAAACCAATAAAAGTAAAAATAACTTATCTTAGGGAATTTAAAATTTAATTTTTATTATGACTTATTAATTAAGTATTGCATTAAATATGTAATAATAATTTGAAAAATATCTTTGGTGAAAAAAAAAAAAAAAAAAACCACAATAATTTTCCGATAGTTTATCAATTATTAAAAGATTGTAATATATTTATTATCTACTTATTACAAAAATCAACTCAAAAATATATAAATAATAATGATATGACTTATTATATAAGTTATAATTATCTGGGATCTTAAAAATAATGTAATTAAAACATAAATATACATTCATTAAGTTTAAATAATTGTACTAGACTGTGACAAAATAAGCACTTGAGATCTCCAACGACCCAAGTGTACCTAAATTGCCTACACAACTCGCCGAACACTTTCGTTCAAATGGAACAATTTAGATCGTAAATAGCTGTCAGATACTCACATTTATTTTCACAAAACTATCTATACTTTGATACCACATTTAAATTAATAAGGTTGCCATTACTAACTCAATCGTTTGAAAGATAAGAATGAGCCTCTCCCACATTTTACTAAGTTGATACACATTTGATTAAGCTACAACGAACTCATTTAGAGTAACTAAATATCTCTTTAACGATTTTCATTTAATTTTTCATCTTGAAACCCCACAAAAAACATACTCGATGTTATTTAAATAATAATTTTTGATAACAACATATAATAAACCCTAAATTCAATAATTCTATAGATCGTTTAATGTGTATCATGTGTCATCATTTTTATAATTTTTCAAGAGTGCTAAAAATTTATTAATAATTTTTAAGTTTTTTATATTTTAATTTTGAAAGAAAAATAATAATTTTGTAAAAATAATAATAATAAACCTATTAAAATAAATTAGTGCAATAAAATTTTACATTATTTTCATATAAAATTTCATTTTGAACAAGACTGTATATACATGGTATGACAGTTTAGTAGCAGTATCTAACAATATATTAAATTAGTTAAACAATTATTCGCTGAAATTTTAGAAAAAATGATTAACTATGTGTTCATTAGGTATTTTATATTATAATAAAAATTTACTTGTGGCTAATATTATTTAAAATTATATTAAAAACATTAATATTTTCAATATAATTTTAATTTTGAATTATATAGTAACAAAATAATAAAACTGTACATTTTACACATTAAATATAGTTTAAAATTAATAATTTGACATTCAGATTTTAAGAATATGTTCAATTTAGTACTGAGTTTTCATAGCATTAATATTAACGCGATATTCTAATTTAAAAAAACATATTTAAATTATTTAAATTTAAAATTTCATTTTTTACATTAAGAGTTGTCAACTTTTAAATATTACATTCATTTAAAATTTAGAATTATAGAAATTGAAATATAATTTAAGAGTTAAACTCCAAAATTTTGAGTTTACAAAACAAGATAAAGTTTAAATAAAATAATAATAAAATTGTTACTTGTATTATCATATTAAAAGATATATATAAAAAATACCCGTAAAAACATTAAGACACAAGAACATCAATGTAATAGTTTCATAAAACTTTTTTAGTCATAAGAAATATTCTTAATTATCTTAGTAAACCATTGTCTTTGTAAACAACATTATACCATCGCTATAAAATATTAAAAATCTGATTTTATTAGCAATAAAAATAAACTATTAATATGTTTGCATTATCTAAATTAAACTTAAATATATTTTAGTTTTAATTTATTTGATTAGTGTTATCGTATGATTTATTATTTCATTTTAAATTATGTTTGAATAAAATGTTTCTTATAATAAGAAGTAATCAAAATGTATAGTAAAATTTGTAGTGTGATGATGTATTGCAACAGCAGCTTGGTAATAAAAAGAAATTAATTTAATTCTTGTATTTATTTTTATAAAAACATGCAAACAATTTCAAAATTAAACTGTTTTTAGTAGTTATAAGAACTTTGAGATGGTATGTTTATACTCAAACAATTGTTGATTTATTGACAATATAGAAAATTGAGAAACTTCGATATTCTTTATTAATTTGAAAAATAATAATTTATCGTTATTGCATTATAATAATATATTATATGTGTTTGATATCTTAACTATTTAATACAAATTGTAATAAGAATTTGTGGATTATTCACTGACGTATGACTAACAGAAATTAACAAATATCTGAAATTGAATGTACTCCAAAATGTCTAATTTAAAAAATCATTCTCAATAGAATACAATTTTTAACTAATTATTTTTTCTTTGGTTATTTCATATTAAAAAAAATCTCAAATCATTTCATGTTACTATATTAATTAAACGTATAATAAATAAAATAATGTATAGATAGATGACTCACCAATCGGTACAGAAACATTTCTGAACACGTTACAAGGACAAGGACCACTACTTTTATTAGGATTATCTTCTGGAACAGTGCACTGTTTTATACAATTACCGGATGAACCACATACTGAAACAATTTTTAATTTCCTTTTCAATAAAAAATAATTGTGTTATAATATATGTACAAAGTAAAGTTGACTTTAACTAATGCCATTCTAAGTGTATAAAATACATTTTAAACTAAAAATATAACTTTAATATTATATAAAATATTCATTTGAGGCTTATTGTGGCGCAGTTGATACTGCAGATGCTGCCAGCCTCCGAAGTTTAGCTTCACCTACCGCTGTTAATTGTCAGAATGGTTAGCACACGTCAATTTCAACGGCTGAAAGTACATTGTATAAAAAGCAATGGGAAACTACTGTACTTAGTTATTCCACAAGATAGACCAGACCTATCTAAAAAATAAGCTAGTATTAACCAATCTAATGGTTAAAAAAAATGTTTTTTTTTCCAATCAAAGCTATGAAAGGTTACAAATATTAAAAAAATCAAACTAATTGGCCGCAACGAAAAATTTGTAACTTTCATGGCGCATTTAAAAGAAAGGGTCGCCAACCCACTGGGCGAGACACTGTATTGCCGGACCACAGTAGAATTAAAAAAAAAATTAAATATTGTAAATTAAAAGCAATTTAAGATAAAAAAGAAGTATAAAAGTAATAAAGATTAAAGTTGATGTCCGTTGAGTCGTTGATAGTTGATGTACACCAAAACCTCGTGATAGTTGTCACATAATCATATAGATCAGGGATGACCTTATACAAGGCCGTTGCCCGTACCTTACAAACTAGGGGAGTTGATTTTTGAAAGGAAAAAAATACACGAGTCCATTGAAGATGGAACACGCAAAAAAAAAAGATAAAAAATGATGGTTAAGTTAAATTAAGTGGAATTTATTAAGTAAAAAAAAAAAACAAAAAAAAAAATTAAGTTAATACGAGGCAAAAAAACGAACGGTCAAAAAACCTCGTCTACAAATTAAAGGGGAACAGAGAGAAAAAAAAACAGACATTAATAAAAAAAAATAGTTACACCTACACTTTTATTATTGGAGAATACGATGAACGTCTTCGGGTACCCACCGGCTATTAATCGCGGTATTACCGCTAAGCACAACGGGTATACGTCCCAAGTAAGCGACTGGTTTTAGACAGACTTAGCTTGCAAGAAGTTGGGACACTCCGGAATAAAATGCACTACGTCACCACATTGTACTAATAATATATTCATCATCCAATAAAATATAATACCAAACCTATATATATATATATATATATAGAACATGACAGGTGGTATTGGAACACGCCTGCCATGTTGAGGGACCTAGATACAAACATAGGGACACCTACAAAAAAAATTCGCCACACGTGCTTATGGCACAGCGCATTAATAAAAAAACAAATTCCGGCTCAAAACATTAAAAACAAAAATATACATTACCAGCCCCGAAGGGCTAAAGAATAGGAGGCAGGCTTAACCGACGAAGTAAGAAAAAAAGATTTACATTTTTAATATAGCGGGCACTGACGACAAAACAAAAAAACAAACAATTATTATAAGAAACACGATGTTGCAGCGCACACAACAAAAAAAAAAAAAAAAAAGCCGCTACGGACGGGAAATAGTATGACCAGTTCCGACTATGGGTATTCCCCGACAAAACGTCCGTCGTTTGACCCGGCGGTCCGTTGGCTAGCCTTTAGAGTAGGGGTCAACACATTTTAATGCTCAGCGCCGGAAATTATTAAGAAAAGTTTGAATCATCAGATATCATAAGGCGACAATGTAGGTGGTGAGTAGTGCAAATGACGTTCATGATAGGAAAGGAGCGGGGTGAATGTACACACAAATGTCGTCCATGAACCGGTCCGAAGTAGTGCACAGCTGACTATCTTGCACGCGCACAAACAAATCACAACATCTTATCATGATTACTTAACTGATAAACGCCGCCGCAGTACGCATTCGGCCTAACCAAGATAATTCAGAACACAAATATATATATATATACGTATACAAATAGATAAAAAAAATAAACACATACTTTTTGTCACGTTACAGCTACTTGTAAATTTATTTTAATGTTTTCAATTTTGTTAAGTTTTAAAATTATATTTAGTGTAACACTCCCGTAAAATATGAATAGAGTTAAAACAAATGCAACCAATATAAAACTACGAAGCAAAGAATCCATTACTAACCAAATCGCTTTTGAGTGTTATCTTTACACGAATTAAACGTTTTTGTATTAGCATACTGTTTTAAGAGGAAAACAAGATATTTTAATGAATATGATTCAGATCATCCTTGATTACTGTATGATAAAATCTACCTATTACATAACACAAGAAAGACTTTTCTATAATTGGATTCATATTAATGTTTTATAGTTTAAGTCTTCATATTTTAATTTTGTTTAACGAAATTAAGACAAAATATTGAAACTTAAGGAAATACTAACGCCAAAGTTATCAATGTGAAGAATATAACAATTGTTTGATTTTACATCAGGTGCAATTAAAATTAATTCATTAAATTAAATTTTTAGACATTAATTTTCTTATTAATTAAAAAAAAAAAGGAAAAAAAAATTATTGGAACTTACTTGAAGTGAAATTGACAACGGGTATCTCACATTGTCCTCCGATAAATCCAGGAGGACAGTTACAAATCTCAATTGACCGACCAGCATGTCTGTAACACACCAAAAATATACATATTAATATTTTCTTATGTGTATATTATTTGAAATGCTTGACTGTAATGTGCTTAGAAATACAGGTATCTTAATACGTGATGAGCATATAAATTATTACACCTTAAGAATGTGTATATAAGTGCTTGCCATCTAAATTCCAACAAAATTTTCATTTGCTTTAAATTATTTCCATGGTTACATTTTTTCTTGTTGAGGAATGTGGATTCAGGTGTATAAAACAAACTATTCTAACACTAATCTTAACTGTCAGGTACTCTAAAGGATAGTAATATCGTTAGTTTTCTAGTAAGAAATGAACACCACATTTAAAATAACAGGCAATTACAAAAGAAAAAGATCGTTTGAATTATACGAGAAAAATCATTTATTTCAATGCACGCGATTTATTTTTTTCTTATTTATGAAAATATAGAAAAATGAGAAATAAAATCTTCAAAAATGTGTAGTTAGGTATTAATTTAGCTTTAATATTGAACCATCTAAAATTGGAAAGCCTTTTTAAGCTGTAGTTGCTGCTCACATTCCAGAATGTCATAATGATACAAAGACTTAATTGAATATTATTGCTTAATAATTAATCGAGACAAATGTCTATAGTATTTTATAGTAATTTAGTTTTCATTCTTGTAATTTTTGTTTGAAGATTATGCCCTGAAATTAAAATTACACTTAATTGGTACCGATTACAAGAAGGTTATATAATTTAATTAGGTATCTCATTAACTTTTAGAAAATGAGAAAATAATGTTTTTCAAAGCTACCATAAATACTGTCTAATCAGCAGCAAAGCTATTTTTCAGTTAAACTTTATAAGTAGAATGAATTAATAACTATGTTTCACGCAATATCTTCAAAAGTATAAGATATAATCTATTTTTTTTCAGAAGTTAATAGTATCCTACACACTTAAATTAATACAAAAATATATAGTTTTTTCTTTTCTTGCTAAGTTTTAACATCTTTAGATGGAGCATACATATTTAACTGGCATAAAAATAAGAAAGTAGGCATTATTTTAATAATGTCTTCTATCATAGTGTAGTAATACACTTATATTATACATTAACCTATAATTATGTAAATAAATAACTTATACACACTATATAACAGATAAACCACACCAGTTCATTCATGATATCAACACTGATTGAGTGGTTTCAAAACTATGAACGCCAAAAATTATGACAGGTTATATACCGAGTAATTGTTTATCTATAACACATGTAACATCTTCAAAACTGTAAAATATAAAATAATTTTTTTCTTTTCAGAATTAAAAAATAGTATTTTATATTGTATAATTTCAAGAAAAAAAAATTGGTTGGTATTATTTTCAAAAAATAAAACGTAAGATACTATAAACACCCGAAAAGAAAAAATAATATTAAATTTTATAATTTTAATATCTTTAAAATTATAAAATTGTATGAATCATAGATAAATAATTAATCTGTATGTGCGGGAATGTATACCGATATAACATGAAAACATCATTCCTTGATATTGAGCATAAAATAGTGGTTTTAGTTTTCTATTTATATCATTTTTCATAACATTTCGTACCATTGATCATGTTAACAACATACATTAGTTAACGATGATTGCATGTGCATGTAAGTCAAACGTCCTTACATAAAATCCAAAAAAAAGACATCTTTAAGAGGATGTATTTTGGCAAACCAAAGTCAAAATTTAAAAGCATAATACTAAAACATACATACACAATTATTAAATAACATTTGACTTTAATAAAAACTTAAATTAGCATAAAAATATATTAATGTATAACATAATATACGTTTAAATGAAATTGTATGCCATTCTAATTTATATATTTGGCAAAAAATAAATTAATAAAAATTTGAACACTATAACGTATTAAATTGATTATAATTATATAATATAATATATAGTTTTTACAGTATGTAGAAAGATTTAGTCAATCATAGATACTTTGAGTCTATAACTACATATTTATTAAAATTATTAAAAATGATATATATATTAGCAAAATCAAATAGCATTTTAATAAATAATTAAAAAAAGTAAACGTTAAATTATGAATATTTGACTTTGAAAATGATCTGTAAATTTAAAAAGTATTGTGAGACTTGGTACGAGTGTAATTAAGAAATTCAAAGAAAGAAACAGTAGCACATTGAATTCACGACATAGTGAGGACTTAGCATTGTCAAAAGTATAGATGATATCAAACAGTGATTAAAAATCACTATCATAAAAAAAACCAATTTTTTAGTCCTTTAGAAATAATTTTTAGATAAGTTTATAATAAAAAAGATTTAACTATTTTCAGCTCAACCTGCAAGTTTATACAGACATCGTTAAATAGAAAATGTTATGAAAATTTAAAAAATAGTATATTTAAGATTAATATGCACTTAAAATTTTTTATTATTAATATTTAAAGTAAATTTATGGAAAAAGTTCAAAATTTCATTAAAATTATTTTTTGCATTTTTATCGTAATAAATCATAAAAATATAAATCATAGTAATTATTAAATACTATGAGTTACTTAGATGATTACTAAGACTTTATTTAAATTTTTTTAAAGATAAAAATTCAAAAAAAATAGTGCGTTTAAAGAAATTTTGAGTTTTTTTCATAAATTTATAAAATGTTATACATTTTTTAATATGATTTTACTGTGTAATTCAGTATAAAATCGAATTTTATACTCTTTTTATTGGAGATATTTAGTTGAAAAAACATTTTTTGAAGTTTTTATAGATTCGCCATTGTAATGGTGAACTGTTGTAAGGTATTTTAATACAAAAATAAAAAAATTTTAACACAAAAATATCATTTTTTTTATTACTACAGCCATTTACACAAAGAATTTTTTTTTAACTTATGGTACGTAACATAAGCTTTAATTTAACATAACTTGAAAAGACGCAGTAATTTCGGAATATTTTCAAAAATTAAATTAAAAAGCCTACTTTTTAAACAAATATTTCAAGATTTGAGTCCCTCCTATTAAAAGAAAATGGTCCGATTTAAAAAAAAGTAGGTCGAATGGAAGAGGTAATGATGATCTATATATTTATCAAAAAGTTATGGCAATGATTAAAAATATAAAATCAAGAATATTTACACAAAAACTTTATTCTTAAACTTTGATGTCCGTTTTTACCATAATACGAGTTCAATTTTTTTTTCTAGTTATTGTGTATTACGTACTTTTTAATATAAGATATATATATATAAAAATGTTAGTATTCCTAGAACATTTTCAAAAGTTAAGTTGAAAAAGTTAATTTTTTGTGGAATAAATACCATTTTGAATTTTTTTTTGGCCAGGTAAAGGATTAACTTTTCAAAAAAAATATACCAAATTATAGGTAAATAACTAATGTATTTAAAAAAAATTTATGACAATTTTAAGAAAAAAAAATTGAAAAATACCTATTTTACCTTTTTTTTTTTAATTGTAATTTTTGGGGGGATTTTCCACATTTACGAGAAACGAGGGAGTTTTTTTAAATTTTGAGGATAATGTCTTTGACTAGATTTGTGTTATTTTGACGTATGGTTCGGTTGAGTTCAAAATTGGTTTAGTAAGAGCTGTGAATAAGAGGTAACAGACACACACAAAAATTAATAAACACTTATTGGTAAATTAATACCTTCTCAGCCTCGCATCGAAGCTAATATTGAGATTAATATGTATTATCAAAATGTAAAACAGTTATTTTATGAGTATAATTATTTTACTACAGTATTTTTTGATATACATATATTTTAATTAAATATCTAAGAAATTGATTTTACCTGCATACGCCACCATTTTCACAAGATTCTTTATCATTTTCAGGATTACAACCAGGGCCATATCCACAGTTACTCCCAAAAAATCCAGGAAAGCATGAACATGAATAAGACCTTAAAATTATTAAATTCATATTAATTATAAATTTAATATTAAAATTTATTTTCACAAAAAATAATGATTTCTAGCAAAAATTAAAAAATAATAGTCTTCAAAATAATATTTTACTATTACAAATCTTGAAGTGTCACAAGAGGGTTTTTTATTCTTTATTGAAGAGGTTTGAATTATAATTAAAAGAGAATAAATACACTTTGAAACTACTTAACATGTAAAGCTCATGTTTAATTCTATTGTTATTTGTTTAACAATATATGTTACTCGCTAGCAAAAGTGATATTTGAAAGTACTGAAGTATAGTGATAAAATCCTGAGAGTGCATTTCAAACAAAATAAAGTAACATGTTTATATTTTGATTTATACCGATTTTTTTTTTTTTTTTTGGAGTGCGAACTTAAAATGAAATGGCATTCATGAGTTCCTAAATTTTTTATAACAGTCACATAATAAAATAAAAAATTGTAATAGAAAAAAACTAATGTACTTTACATTTATATTGATGTAGAGATTTAACAGCCTACCTACTTTTTATCACTAAGTTCATATTGTGCACATTGCCTATGTATTCAATTCATTATAAGAAATGAATTATTCAGCAGTTAAATAATCAGTAACAATATTATTTAAAAATGAAACGAGCTAAAATTTCAACTTATTTAAATAAATACGTGCTTGAATTATTTAAAGTGGTTGAAAACTATAACATACACCCTTTTACTAGTTTCTTTACAGCAATTATTTTCATTATTTATTCTAGGTATGTACAATATTATATTGTAAAAAATAAAGAAAAAAAAAACAAAATGTCTTTAACGTTAATGAAATAAAAGACATATAATTCCAAAAGTAAAAATGTTAACAAAAATATAACTCAGATCAAATTTAAAAATATTTTATTTAAATATGTAGCTTAATTTATTTGTAATAAAAAGAAATGTATAAATACAATAACTACTATAATTTAAATATCTCAAAAAAATAAATATTTTGCAAAAAATCTACAAAAAAGAACGCACATCAATTAGATTTTCGAATAATTTTAGGATAAAATTTATATTACATAAAATATTTCATGGACATTTTTCTGGAAATTAATTTATTTATATTACATTTTATATAGGTTATTCAATTAAATTACATAATTTTGATCGGTTTTAACTCGATGATGTGAAATAGTTAGGAAGCCACTTAATTAGATTTATTAACATTAGAATTGTTTCGTTTTATTCAATACTTTAAATTAAGCTATTAATATTCTGATTATTCGATTACAGTACACTACTATCGTAAATTTATGTTTGGTAAAGTCCTAACAGTAGAACTTTAAATTAAGTAATTTATTCAGAACTTTCAAAGTAATCATTAAGACATTTGTTTATTGTTCTTGGGAAGTTTTAATACAGAAAAGCTTCAAACATCTGATAGTGTAACAAAAATGAAATTTTGATTCATATTAATGTATATGAAATCATTCGAGTCTAAAGAAATATTTTAAATAGATTGACCCATCTTATTTTTTAATCTTTAAGATTCATTATTATAATCATTCTATACTTATAGAATTGATATGATTTAATTTAATATAATAAGTTCTTACTTATTATACACATTTATAAGTAGATAATAAAATTGTTTAGTTGTGCATACTAAATTTAAATTACACAATTTATAATCCATACATTGATAGGACTTTGGCTTGTTCATTAAGTAGTTATAAATTATTCAAAAAAATCTTCTATTAAAAACATATTTTCACTAAATTTCTCTTTTATCCATTAAGTTTCCACGAACTTTAAATATAAAAGCAAATCAAATTATACTTTTTATTATTGAGATAAAAATAATAGTTGTAGTAAACAATTTAATTTTTAAATTGACTTATATGTCACAATCATTTTAAAATACATTTTTAACTTTTTATAAATTAAATCAAGTTATTAATAAATTATACATGTAATTTTGAAATGACTAAGCTGTTGAATTTAACACCTACATAGTTTTTAATGATATTTCTGTCACTTTTTATATTATAAAATTTATTGAAATACGGTCTTTAGTATATACAGAATTAACCATTAATATTTAAACAAAACTTTTAATTTCTTACATTACAACAATATTTAAGGAATTATTAAACTTGACAACAAATTGTGAATAATTATTTTATTTACATAAAAAAACTTCTTACTTTGAAAAATGTGGTCATAAAAAGTAGAGCTTTAATCAATACTGTAAAATTATAAAAAACAGACTAAAAGCCTCAGTCATTTCCGGAATGGTGGTAATTTAAGGGATTAAAAAAAAAGAATTTTAAGCGTATAATTAAACCGAAGTTTTTTTTATTTACAACAAGAATTGAGGCTGTTAAAAGTTCAATTAAAACTGTTACAATTAATTATTAATATAATTTCCAACTCTATAACTATTAAACTACAAAAGAAGTCGTTAAAAATTCATAAAATTTTCGATTTTAGCCTTATATTGTATAAGGGTGTCAATTTTATTTATTAAATGACAACATACATATTTAATAAGCCTATTATATTCTTCCAAAGCACATTACTAAAAAATAGATATTATGATAATTTTTCTTAAGACTAATCAATGTATATTAATTAGAGATTTAGATATGGTGATGTAGGATATCACTCACTCTCAAAACAATAATGTTTCTGTAGTACTATATATCTATGAAAGATTTACAGGTAGTTGCGTTTCTCGGAGGTAGTTCAAACAAATTTTATAAATAAATGAATAAAGCAAACAAAATTCTTTTTTTTTTTGGAATATAAGATTCAATGAATTTTTTTTTAATTGCCAAATACATACTATTAAAAAAAAAATCATTAATTAATCTTCAATATAAAAGAATAGAGAAGCGAAACTTGAAGTAAAGCAATTTTAATGATATTCTGGCTTTTCTCCAAAACTTCTGACTTGTGAAACTTGAACTAAATAAGATTACATATACAAATGCAAGCATTTAGAATTAAAATAAATTACTTTTGCGAACATTGCCAAAGCTGAAAGTCTATAGGTTATTACAAACTTAATGCAAAAAAATACTTATAAACAAAATAAATCATAGTTGTTTCTAAATTAAAGTTACAGTTGGATAGCAAAAATATTTTCTCTTGAAAAATGAAACAAATTATAAATACAAAGAGAATAAATCATTTTTTTAGGTATTTATATTTTATAAACCAAAATTGTTTATTTAAATTTTAGCCAGCTAATAATTTATAATAAATTAAAATCAAAATTTTTATAGGACAAAAAAATTTTAATTTTAGTATTCATATTCCTAAAAATGTTCATTTGGACATTAACTTTTGCAAACATATAATAAATTACAATACTAAAATGTTTATTTTTACACTTATTTTTCCTGCAAATTATTGAAAAAAAATTCAATATTTTTATAGAGAATATTAACATAAGATGTATTTATAATGTACTCCAAAAATATAAATTCACTGTGAACGTATATGACTACAATTTGTTCATTCTAAAACTACCATGTGACAAACTTGTGCAGTGTACTGAATGACCAAGAAAGGTATTCAAAAGACTAAATCACGACGATTGGACAACTTAGTGGCCTTAATTTTAAAAAATATTATTGGATCATAATCGTTTTAATTGATTAAAAAATATGAATCCAAACTATGTAAAAAAGCTTACAAAGTAAGCAAAGAAAATATCAAATAAAAAATTAATTACGAAATATTTTTAATTGACTTCGACTATTATTTTAAAATAAAATATTATCATTTTCAATCGAATGAAAAATTTCAAATAAAGAGTATTATTAGCTCATGTAATATATTTCCAGCAAGGCGTAGTAAAAGGAAAAGCAGCCGTGCAAACATAAAACGTCGTTTACTCGTGTGGGTTTTCACTGCCAAACTTTATTGTGTGTACTTTCCTTTTATTCCTATTGTCATGTAAACTGAGTCACATCATCTATTATAGTAATCTCCTAGCTTACTATATTTTCACTCGCACTGTATTGCTGACACAGTTTACAAACTTAGATGTGTTATACACGACATGTTGACAATTATTTCAGAGAATTAAATATTTTAACGTAACAATGTCACGCTAAAATATTTTCTTACTTAAAAATATAGTAAACTATACTAATTTTAAAAGAAATGTAACCGTTTTTTTTTTATACTCTATAATAGTTAAGTGATTCAATTGTTTGTAAAGATTTTTACATCTATAAATGGTTATTCATCATCACTGAAGATTGAATTTCGAAATTTTACATCAGATGCTCAATAATATTTTAAGTTTTTCTAATATATTGCATGCAGTGAAAACATATTAAAAAAAAATTGTGTTTATTAAATCCTAATTTTGTAAAAAACGTATTTTATTAGCTGTCATTTTAAATTGGCATAATAATTATACCAAATTTATTAAATGAACTGTATGAAATTTTTTATGGTTTTAAAAAATTTTTAAAAACTAAATAATTATTAAAAGTATCTGAAATCCAAGCAAGTTATTTTTGAATATTTTAAATTATAATTCCATAAACACTTTATGTAAATTGTGAAATAACTGAAGCTAAAGAGTGAAAATGAGTTATTATGTAATTTAACATCACTACTCTTTAAATATTTTTACTCAAAGCAAAAATTAACATGGTTGATGTTGGATGGTGCTTATCAGCATAACATTTATTTAATAACTTATGATCAGGTGTTTAAGCTTTAGCTTTAAAGCACTTAAATAGTTTAAACCTAATAATATGCATAATATTTATATATTTAAATTTGCCTTTAAGTAAGCGAATCTCACTACACTGCAAATTTTAAGTGTCATATATTGTACGTTTTAATATGAATATATTCATACATGTATGCATATAGTATAATCATTATAAATTATAATATGAAATACAGACATAGTATATTGAAGTATCCTTCATATAATATAGTATAAGTATAAACATAAGGCACAAATCATGAGCATCGATTTTATACTAGACTTAAATATATACATTAAAATAATCAAAAAGAAAACTTTATGATATTATAGGTATTTATAATATATATATTTTTAAGTTTAAAGAGTAGATTTCATTTTTTAACAAAATATTTTAAGTCGAATAAAAATCCCTAAACTATATAACGAACTGTTTTGATGTACATTTCAATGGAAAGTTAGAGTAATCTTTATAATATTTAAATGTATTCTCTAGTTTATGTTTGAAGAGATAAAGATTTTTTAAAGTGTGATATCAAGGACATATATACTTTTAAAAGATAACTGAAACTAAACAAACAACCCTCTGAGATAAAGATAAAATTCATTTTATTCCCGCCTTATTGATTTTTCACAAAAAAATAAAGAAAGAAAGAAAATTATTTCTAATCTAAATTAAATAACTAGATTATACTTTAATAAATTTTAATATTAAACTCGATCTCTCTGTAATAATGCATCAAATTTATTAGCATATATTCTAGTTGTAGTACAAAATAAATAGCTAAACATCTTATAGTTATATTCGTTATAAGAATATCTTTATTAAAAAACCCAGTACAGTGGTATCGCTGTAAAGTGGGGGTGTAGAATAGTTGGGTCAAGTATAATGATATTTAACAGTGATTAAAAAATGACTATTATAAAAATCGCTTCAATGCAAATTTGTAGATAGTATTTAATTTTGAAAAATTGGTGGATTATTCCAAAAGCTTCATGATCTCCTATTTCCTTATTAATATCTTGATTACAAGTTTTATGATTTATAAGTGTAATACATGAATAAATATATATATATTTATAATATATAAAGGAAAATGGTTTTATTAAAATAAAAAATATATCCAGTGAAAGAGGTATATTATTTATCATAAAAACATTGTATTGATTCATATATTTTTCAAAAAGTTATTAAGTTAAAAATATAAAAAGAATTTTTTTACAAAAATCGTATTACTTTATTAACTTTGATGTCCGTTTCACCATGAAAACAAAATTAAGTCAAAATAAAGAAAAACTTCTACTTTTTATATGCACTTTTAAGTATTGAACCCCTTGTATTAAGGGAAATAGTTCTATTTAAAAAAAAAAAAAGTATGCCGAACAAAAGAGGTTCATAAATATTATTTCTCATAAAAAAATTGTGTTGATCCATACACTTTTCAATAAGTTATAGCATTATAAAGTTAAAAATTTTAAAAATAAATGAATTTTCACACAAAAATAGAATTTGGTAGCCATTTTAACCGTGAAGACAAAATAAAGTCTGAATTTTTTTTTTTCCATAATAAAGTAGATTACATTAGCTTTAATTTCAGATATATAAAAAGTGTCAGACTTTCCGGAACACTTTCAATAGTTAAGTTAAAAAAGTTGTCATTTTGAATCCCCCCTGTGGGCAGGTAAAAGATCAGATTTATGAAAAAAATATACCAAATGATAGATTAAGACATCAAACATCTATAAAAAAAAAAATTATATTGATTTACTCATTTTTGAAAAAGTTATGGCAGTTTTAAGTAAAAAAAATTTCGAAAATTAAAAAAATTAGCGATTTTTAAATTTGTCATTTTTTTGGAGATTTCCCTCATTTACGGGAAACGAGGGAATTTTTTTCAATTTTTGAAGCTAATGCCTTCGACAAGATACGATTTGTGATCTTTTGACGTATCGTTGAAAGAAATCGGTACGATTAGAGCTGAGAAAAAGTGGTAACAGACACAAAAATAAAACACAACATAGTAAAATAATACCTTCGAAGCTAAAAATAATTAGTGTAACCCGAGGTAAAGTGCACATTTTTTTCTATCACAAAAAATTAATAATACATGGTAGATATAAACAATTTTTAGCTAGACAAATTATTAGGAATACAAATTAATTATTAATAGAGATATTTGAACTTATTTGATGAGTAAATAAGTATAAAATGTATTCTTGTAGAGCAAAGTTAGACGATTTTCTTTAAATTCAATGCCAAAAATTAGTGCGAAATAAAGTTATGTCATTATTCAATATAGATTAATAAAAATATGTACAGATTGGAATAGATCTAAATGACATCTCATATAACTTATGATTTACATAACATTTTATACTTCTTTTTTTTTAATCAGTTTTTATAATATAGGACTATATTTGAAATATATTTTATGTTATTTTTCGCAATTACAAAAAATATTTTAAAAATTAATTTTTTTATTAAAATTTGTTTTAAGATTTGAAGATTGCCATTTTATAGATAAGTTTTAAAGAAAAATTTGAAACATGTTGAATTTTTAATTAAATAAGTTTATATATCATAAATTTAAACGTGAATAATAGTGAATAAGTGAATTTATTATCAAATCTCCTAACAAGGAATATCCTATAATAATATAAATACAATGATAGAATCAAGCAAATTAATAATTATCACTTAACTTGGCTAACCATGGAACACTCGTAATTGACATACGATAATGTATCTAACTTTTGTAATAAAGATTAGAGATAATTATTTCTGTATAAAGCTCGTTAAACGTTATTATTATCCATGGAAAAGAAATCGCGTACTGTTACCAGTAAATAACGTAATAAATGTTTACTTTTGTACTTAACATAATATGGTCTATCATTTGATACCATAGGGAAATTGTATAAAAATCAAAATTTAACAAATTTCAAAATGCTACTTAAACGTAACTACTGGATTAAAATAAGAGTTTTTGGTATCAAAATTTTTCTTCAAAACTTATCTATACAATGGCTATCTTCAATTTTATAATCTATGTAATGTATTTAATTTTAGCTCGATTTGTAACGACTAAAAAACATGTAAAAATGGTCCAAGATTTAATAATCATTAACCATTAATTTAAAACTATAAAATTAAGTTATTTATTTCCATATTAGAATCATATCTCAATTTATTCTATTATTGTAATAAAAAATACTGTTTTCATAATTAAAAAAATATAATAATAGGGTGATTATTTCAATGCTAGTAACTCAACTTCTCTTAAAATAATAATTATGTTTAGAAAATTATTTTATTGTATTCTTTAGTTTCATATACAGCACTATTATTAGAATTCAATAAACCAACGGATTCTTCAATAAATTAAAACAATATTGAGAATTGTTTTTTTTTGTTTCTTTTAGGTACATATTTTTCTCAATTTATCTAACATCAAGTATTTTTAATATTTATCCCATATAACTTATAAGGAATTTAACTTTTTTTTTTTTTTTTAATAGCAGCATACATTATTAACTAGCTTATTTGTTTAATGATAATAATGTAATTATAATAACTTTTTGACCAATATTTCAAAAGTTATTAACATTTTTATTCCTAGGCGGGAGGAGGAGTCAAGCCGAGAATGTCTTGTAACAAAAATAGCAGCACCTATGCCATTACTTTAAATTGTTAGGGGTTTCTCTGATCCAAGAGTTATTATCCAGCAGTCATTTTCTTAATTAGGTCGTTTTTTATCTCATAAGCTAGTTATACATGTTTGTCGACATTAAAAAAAAATAAAGTTGACACCTCTATGTAGTATAATAGACGAATTGAATAATTATTTTATAACTGATAAATCGTGAAATATGAAACTAAAACTTCCAAAATGATTTTTCTTAACATTATTATTTGAAGAGAAAGCGAGTAGCTGTATCCTGTATATATATTTATCATAACAATATTTCTTTCTTATTTTTCAGATATACTAACGAGAGATCTTCGTTGCCTAAGCATATACCAGCATATGAACAGGATAGAAGACTACAAACATCATTCCTTTCTTTGTTGAATTGTCGAACTTCGTAAGTAATGTTAAACCCGTACACATCCATCAGATCATTGTACACTCTGACGTGATTGCCTTCTAAACGGTCCAACTTGAACTTGATGACAAGATACTGCTGGGTAGATAACAAAGAAACTACGTATTGACCCATGTGCGTCTTGTTGAACACTTCTCGTTTGGTTTGTCCTGGAACATCGTAATCTGGTAATGGATACATAACGTACTCGGTTACGGTAAACCCCTCGAGGACATAAAACTGTGTGAGATATAACTCGGTCATGGTGTTGTTCTCCTGATTACTCTCTATGTATATCACCCACTGGCAATCTATGGGTACTGTAAATGGTCCAGGAAAATTTGGTGTAGTAATAACACCTTTGGATGCCGTCAACGGTTTGTCTATCGGGGTGCCGCATGTGGGTGAGTTTTGTTGGGCTATCACGATCTCGGTGGATGTTACTAGTAATAACCATATTACACCTAGCCAAAATACTTTGGATTTTGGGTTGATAATATTTTTTTGACTTTTATCCATAACTTGTCGTTTGGCGGCTATAATCGGCGGCCATCGGTGGTCACATGACTGGTTCTTTTGTGAACAATGCCATATGTTGGCCAATACACCGAGGCCGCCAACCGTTACATTTATCTTAGACGTGGTCAGGCGGCAAACCACTTAGAAGAGCAAAAAGAAAACTTTTCGGTAATAATCAACAATAGGTGAAGTATGATCGCTTCCACTATTTCCATTATCTAAAAAATAAAACAAAATATAAATATTAAATTGATTATTCATACATGGTGATCCATATCCACTCAATTACTCGCAATATAAATTCAATATTGAAAAAAATGTTTATTTCTTTTAGTACCATTAAAGTCTTGATTCCCGTTGTTATACGTGGATGGAAGAAGTGGACGACCGAAAAATATTTATGATAAAAATATCAGTATAAATAACAAGCAAAAATAACTAAAAAAAGCGATTTCTTTTCAGTTTTGTATTTATTTTGCGACTAATTGAGTAATTTATGATTAAAGGACCACCACTCTATGCACATCATTATTATCATTACTACTAAAAAACCTAATTAAAAGTTCAAGAGACAAGTAAATTAATAATTTATTTGTTAATGATAAAAAATACGTTTGTACGATTTTACTCTTAGCCAATAAAGACAAAATCTCAGAAAACAATACAAATAAGTGAATTAGTGGTCAGATAAATTTTTTTTATTTCGTTTAATCTTAGGGGGTTTAAACCATATTTCACAGTCAAGTGCAGTTTAAATAAGAGGCAAGTGATGACACCTTATTGTTTGATACCGTTTTATTTACATAAACGTTTTTTAATTATAATGTTTAAAAATAATTTATTATTGTTTTAATAATAATTGTTTTTCATTATGAGAAGTATTAGTTTAACGATATTTTAAGTCCATTGATATATACTTTTGAATACGTTTTAACATAATATTTCATTTTTAACGTTATAATTATAATGTTTTCCCGTTAAGAAAATAATAAAATAATTTAATCTGAATAATACAAATTTAAATAACAAGTGGAACCTCATATTTTATTAAATATTAGGTTAGTTATAATATTTTTGTATTTCGTGATATTAACCTAAAATTTATTTTCTTGATAATACAATGTGATTTTTTAAGAATAATTATTTTTAATAATCATTTTTTAAATAATTATTTTTTTTGTACATAATTTTCTATACTTTACTTAAGCAGATTTTTTTTTTGATTTGAACTTCAATTTCCATTTAACTGACATGCGTATTTTATTGGTTCTACTATAAATTATCTATTTTTCTACATTAAACTCTTGATTTAAAAAGAAATTTGTGAAGCTATACAAAATATGTCTAAAAACTAGGTCAATAGTAAATACTTGATATAAAGACTTGTACTAAATCATTTTTATAAAAACTATTTTAACCCAGTAGACAGGTTTCAAGAACTTACGACAATAAACTTCTAGTGTTTACTTGCCAAGTCGTTTTGTGGCATTGTTTAAAAAAATTAAACATGATTTTTAATGCCACATAAATTTTTAGTTGATTTTTTATATTAATCAATGAGCGTTTACAAAAATATGTTATGGTCTATGTTTTATTTTTAAACCTTAATAGGACTTTGAACAACCACACATACCATCATATAATAATGATAGCAATCATCAGCCATATATGTCAATAATAAAAAACTTTTATATAGTAAATAACTATTTGCATAAATATTTTAATAAAATTATTTAATATGTATACACATTTAAGATAAGTAACTATTTAATAATAAATGTTTACAAATAAAGTCTTTTTCTCAATTTCTTTTTTAACATTTTTGACATCTTTTTTGTTCATTCACAAAAATATAATAAGATTTTCTCTTAATAAGCATAATTTTCAAAAATTAAGTTAAAACCAAGTTTTATTTTTTTAAGATACTAAAAATTACAGAATATATTTTCATAAATACTAGTTCTTAGTTCGTAGAAAAAAAATAGAACACAGACGGCATAAACGACCTATAATGAGTAAAAACATTATTTTTATTATAAGAGGCAATAACAAATGGACACAGATGTAAAGAACGTTATACACCAAACAACAATTGAGTCAAAGTTGAATATAAATAAAACTGCGACACAAATAAATTCATAGTACATTTTTAGACAATCATTTCAAAACTTTTCTCAAATAGCTCCTTATCAGAATTAGCAATTATCGGGAAAGTAAATATGAAAACAAAAGATTTTTTAAATGCTAAAAATTACTTAGTAAGTTTTTAAAAACACAATGTGTAACTTAAACTTATTATGAATTAATTTAAACTTTTAATTAATTTTAAAGTTAACAAGGAAGAAACTAACGAAAAAATTTGTTTTATCACCTATAAAAAGCTATATATAGTTAAAAAAATTAATATACGAGATAATTATTATAAAACAATTTTTATAAACCTATAACCTACTCGACCATTTTTCTCTAACATTAACATGCATATCAAGTACTTAAATATTCTATTTTACATGATTATTAGAATTAATTTCGTTTAAAATTTAAATCGATATTTAGTGATAATAGAACTTGTGTAAGCTTTCAAATTTTAAAAATTAAGACAACTGTAATATCAGGAAATTATATATTTTTTATGACAATTAAGTTTCTTCTGGTATATTTTTCTAGAAAATCTTGAAAGAGAGTACTTACATATACAATAAAAAAAATTTTCAACTTGCCAGGAGTTAAAAAATCGAAATTACTTTATTTTTAAATATTTTCAAATGTCTGACAAATCTCAACCTACACAAAATAAATCTATGAAAACGTTATTGTTGAAAAAAGTAACGATTTATATATTAAAATAAAATGATCAATAAAATCAAAATATAAACATGATTTCCACAAGTTATTAATATTGCAATATGAATAACCAAAATTATATACATTTATATGTGTGTCAATTTGGATGCAATATTCATAAAGCTAATTTTTAATAAGAAGTTTCCGTAATTCGATAACAATAATTCGATATAGTATATAAATAATATACTATATTATACTGATTTAAAATTTTAATTATCTCATGAATAAGCATTATTGTTAATACATGCGATAGAAATCATTAGTTGTACTTAATGCGTTAATTAAAAAAAATTAAAATTAAATCACTCATGTAAATTTGTAGTTTATTTTTCTTTGACAAACTTATTTCAAAATAATATAATTAAATAAAATTCACTTAATGATTACAGAAACTTTAAACACATATTATGTGATAAAACAAATTATCTATCAAGCCTTTAATATTTGAGTGAAATTTTAAAACAGCAATTTTAAAATTACACTCAAATATACAAATTATCGTGAAATTTAATAGAATCACATTGAAATTTTTTTCAATAGTGATGTTAATCGCCGTCAGATATTATCTATACATGCCCCAACTATACCACATCCTTAATATGCTAAATTTTTTTATGAAAGTAATTTCTTAGAAAAAAAACATACGTATTTACCTTAAATATATAAAAGTCGAATACTTTTATACATTTAAAACAATTTAAGTTATTTTAAATGAATAATATGTAACATTTTCTAAGCATTGAATTACGTTTTTCTTAAAATACTGTTCAGAATATTATGCAAAATAGTCAGTACGCACATAAATAAGATATGTAAATAAATCAACAAGTTGCAGTGAATAGGATGTCTGTTGTATTTCACAGAAAAGTGTATTGAAGTTATCCGACATAGTATCAAGTAAAAAGTGTAAAACCAGATGCCTCCAGGGAAATCGGACTACAGTTGCTGACAATTGAACTAACTTTCATCAACCGTTTTTCAATAAATTTGTCATGACTATTTACATTGTTTGCGTATATTTTATTATACTCATAAACTTCTTGGTCTCCTAACAAAAGTTTGACATTGATTTGGACACCGACAAACCCCATATTTTGCATATTATAAATATATAAGAAAAATAAACATTTTTTAATAAAAAACAAGAAGTATTATAAACAAGAAGTAAATTATGGTATAGCAATTAATCTAATTTTGTAAAAAAAAAAAAACATAACCATATTTGAAAGGACTAACTAAAATATTTTTATAGAAAAGTTATACACCAAATTTATAGCTTTTTTGATTAATAAATAGAAATTATTATTTTAGTCATATAACAAAATATCTACAATTTGATATTTCATACCTAGTTCATTATAACTATTCTTACTTAATAATTTTTTAATATTTAATAATATCCTTAATAATTACAATATCAGTGCTAATATAAATGTAAATGTAAATGATAAAAATAACATAATCCACCTCCACTCTATATTTTAAAATAGTTATTATAATTTCATAACTTCCAAAATAAATTGTCACCCAACAGTAATTCTCTCAATTAAACCATTTTTATATTTTTTAAGATAGTTAAATATCTATGTATCACTTTAAAAAATAATGTTGACACTTTTATAAAATTTTATAAAGTTTAAAATAGTATATAAAAGAAGATAAAAATAAAAGAATAAAAAAAGTTAAATGGAAATGTACAACCAATTAACAGTATTTATAAGAACATAATAATGTATTATACAGATATAAAAATGCAAATATTTAAAATACTTTCATTTCACTTTTTCCATTTTTTCTACTGTGTTATAGTAAGAATGTTAACAAGTACAAGGAGCCGTCTATGCTTGCATTTGTTCTACCATAAAGTTTATCCAAGTGTTTTACTCCGGATAAAACTTTTCAATTACCAAAATTTTAAAACTAAGTTTTGTAATAAAGAGCAAAAACTTAAGACATCCATAATAGTACACTGGATGTATAAACAATTTTTCGTAGAAGTATCTAAATAATTATTTTTTATTAAATCGTAATATATTTTTTTGTCAATCGATGGGTATTTAAAAAAAGTTTAATTATTAAATGATTGCTGATTTTTTATAAATTTAGAATAAAATAAATGTCTATAAGATTTTTTTCGATTCTGAACACAAAAATATACAACTATATAGCTCAAAAATTACAGAAAAATACTAAACTAATAAAATACTAAATTATAATTTTTAAAATAGACAAGACATATACTTGCTATCACAATACATAACAAGTTATCACCACTCAGAATTTGTCAAAGATAGGAAACATCATGTTACATAGATTACATGATTTTGTAAATATATTTATTAAGTGTTAGTAAAATGTTTTATTAAATAAA